CATACATACATACATACATACATACATACATACATAGGGCCAACTTAGAGAGGAGCCAATGCATGTCTTGCATTCCAGCATGTCTTTTGGAATGTGGGAGGAAACCGGGGACCCCCAGTGCTGCAAGGCAGAAGCGCTAACCACTACGCCACTGTGCTGCCCATTATAGTGCTATGATTAGATCTGGATATAATTTATTAAATTCTTTTCCTTTTTAGATCCTTTTATTCTTCCACATCAACAAGTTGACAAAGGAGCTATAAAGTTTGTTCTAAGTGGTGCAAATATCATGTGCCCGGGTTTAACATCTCCTGGAGCAAAGCTTTACCCAGCAGCAGCTGACAAAGTGGTTGTATCCTTTCAGTTTAACAAAGCATTCTAGAGCTGATATGTAAGTGATGTATGGTGTGAAACGTCTGCCGCAAACTCTTTGATGAGAATAGACTGTCTGTCTATCCAGGTTTTGCATAACATTAATGTATAGTTTAGATATTTTCTTTCTCTTATGTTCAGAACTAAAAATATTTATAACCATTTTTTAAGTCAGGTAAATATTTTTGTTACATGAATAAATTGGAGTTGCAAATTCAGGCACCAGGGGGAGCTTCAGGCTCGTTTTGAGGGCTGGTGCAGACTTCGGCAACCCCGGGACCCCGCAATTGTGTGCGGATGCACACAGCAGTTGCCGTGTATCCCCGTTGATTTCAGTGGGGTTACATCCACGCTGCAATTGCTGAAAAAGGGTACTTGTACTGTTTTGGTGATACGCACAGCACAGATTTTTAAATGCTATGATGGAGTAGGTCGGAGACAGGGAAACATTTTTGCTCTCTGTAGAGTCGGTTCGTAGTGTGGTTGGCACATGTGCAATGCTTTGTCCTGGTCTGTACATTAGCTTCTATCCCATTGAATAGAAATTAATAAAGTTATCATTGGTCCTTTTGGCCATTTTAGTATCTGATTTAGTCTACAAGACTGGAATGCTTTTCAAGATTGTAAAGTGTTGTTAGGAAATTCTAGACATTATCACTTTCTGTTTACATTTTATCCTTGACAATTGCAACCAGGCAATAATGGCAGAGGGGAAACAACATGCCCTGTGTGTTGGAGTCATGAAGATGTCTGCAGAACACATGTAAGTGTTAACAATTTGTTCTCCTAAATTACTGGGAATTTGCCAGTCTTACTGGAGATCTGAAATCTGTAATTTAGCTGCAGAAACTTCTGCTACAGGATCCCACTGCTACCACAGTGTACAGACTCATAACTATAGACCTTGGCATTTTGTCATTGACCTCCATGGAATTCTGAAGCAGAGGTTTCTCTAGCCAAGGTAAGTTTTTCCTGTTGGATGAGCAGAGCTGGGGAGTGTCTTATATGGTAATAGATGCAGTCCATGAACCCATCGCACTCAAAACCGCTGTTCCTCATAAAAGACGGGTGCTGCGGCAGTCGACGGATGGCAACCGTCTATAATCACAGGATAACATAGACACCGGCACTCCAAGTAATGAATCAATGGCGTCTGCGTATTGACACATTAAACCGCACAATGCATCAAAAAGCAACGTTTCGGGGTCTCACAGGATCCCTTTCATCAGGCAAAATGAGTGATGCCACTCATTTCGCCGCTGTGCCACATTCTGCAGGACCAGTGACAGCCTCTCCATTCCTGCCACACAGCCGCCCGTACATGCTGCCGGGTGGCTGTGCAGGAGGGAAAGACCAGTGGTAATGGGTCTGCTTAAAACCAGGCAAGTGGTATGTTTTAATCTAGTGCGTTTCTACATTTCACCAGTAGGGGGCGCTGAAGCCACAGGTTTCCCTTTAAGTATTATTGCATATGTGTCGCAAATAAATGCACTTCCTGCAATGATTAAAGTAAATACTTCTCCCAAAGCCCACACCACTAAGTGTAGCTCTGAGGAAGATAAATTGCCCCCTAAAGTCTCTTCAGAAACCTTTCACGTTGATCTCCTGGGTCCTGTAGTGATGTAGGGGTAAGTGGCAGGAACCACAGGGCTCAGTGGAGAAACAGGAGATCAACGCTCCCAGAATTGTTGGTTGCTGAAGAAACGTTACTCTGCAATTCCTCTATCACCTTGGTATTTGACAGTGGAGAGTGTTTACTTTCTTCTTTGCATGGCTATCTGTTTTTAGAGTAAATCAGCGTATACACACTTATATTGTTTTCATTCAACCTGCGGGGCTAAATGAAGAAAATATAACCGATGCCTCTATCCACGCGCTGAACAGCATGGATGGACCAATCTCCCACTGTTTACATTGTATTCTGACACCAACCGCTGTCAAAATACACAAATGATGCTTGCAGCTGTTTGGCTGCAAGGACTATTCAGCCGAAGATTTTCCAACATGTTCCTTCGGCAAAAGTCGATCTAATAGGGTACGCACGGAGCGAATTTCAGTGGATTCTTGCTGAATCTGCCAAAATGGGCTCTGTGTGTACCCTACTTAGGATTTGGACACTCCTCATATTTGAGGGAAATTTTACCTTGTTTAAGGGCCGGTTCACACCATAAACAGTGCGTTCCAGAGTGGTCAGGCTCTGGAACGCACTGAATCGCATTCCGGCCGGCTTCCTGCGGGAGGGTGGTGAGGCGGTCCATTGAAAAAAAAAATGCTGCAAGATTGCACTGGACTGGAACGCAGGCACTGATGTGCCACGTGTTCAGGTGCGGGTGATTAAACTGTGGGTGGGGGAAAGTGGCTGCGGTGCCATTGACTTCAATGCACCGCCACGCCCCCTCCTGCCCCTGAACGCAGGGAGCCGGCTGGGTTGCGATACAATGCGTTCCAGAGGCTGACCACTCTGATTGCACTGTTTGTGGTGTGAATCGGCCAGGTGAGGATGGGATGTGCATAGATATTTGATGGGGAAACGGACGGTAAAAAGGGCCCAGTCACACCATAACACAGGGTGCTGCAACTCGCACCTATTATGTGTCGCACACAAAAAATAGGTCTTGCAATTTTTTTTCATAGATTTTTTTTTTTTCATGCTCAGAGCATATGTATGTGTGTTGCAGTTGTGCTATAACACAAGTGTGTTGCTGTGCACTGTAGATGTGTGTTGGGGTGGAGTTAACTTTAAATGGCAATTTACTGCAATGTCCATCTGCATGGTGTGACTGAACCTTTAAAAATGAATAGGTTCCAACCTATCCTTACTCCATCAAAAACAAAACATTTTGGCTAGAGTTACACTTTAAACAAGAGTTGGCTGCGGAATTCTTCATAATGTTGTGTAAAGCCTCTTTCATTAATGGTTCTTGGAGGATATCCTGCCACATATACAGGAACTGGATATGTTGTTTGAAGAGAGCAGTGTTCATCATCTGCGAGTATTTGTGCTTCTAGTGACCTAGAACGACCTAGAACGAAGTTTGAAACACTGGAATATTAAACACCTTGCTGTGTATCCTCTTATATTAAGTACTATAGACTTGTGCATGTTTATCACTTATACCGGCCTATAGGTTTAGAAACCAGGCAGCCCTCCATGTTTGGGAACCTTATCTGTATATACAGTATATGATTTTAAATTCTGAGCATAGGGACAAGAGTATTACATGATAAAAATAAAGGGCTATGTGCACAGCCCAGCATTATGTCAGGAGGAAGACTGCAGTGCCATTGCTGTCCCAAAACTTCCAGTTTTCCAAATTCGAGACCCTATACCCGACATCTTTCAGTCTTTAACCCCTTCATGACTGAGGCCCTTTTTTCAACTTTTGCACCCATGTTATATTCCACATTTTAGGCCTGAAAATTACGTAAAACCCCCCAACATTATATATTTTCTGAATGCCAAGACCCTATAGAATAAAATGGTGGTAGTTGAAAATTTTTATGTTGCGCAATAT